GTGCCTCCATGATGTCATCCAGAGTAGCACCAAACATGGACGGGTGAAAAACAGACGACTGGGGTAGAAAAGTACAGGGTTATTAAATTCTTACCTCTTATCAATCGAATTGACAGTCCATACTGTAGATACGGAAGTGTTCAACCGTAAACACGAAGCGCGCAGGGCATCAGTAGTCGGGGAAAACGAGGAGACTCGCAATCTTACATGAAAGGAGCTACGTCACGGCTTGAATATCTTGAAAAGCTTACCCTATATTTTTCAAGTTCGTCGTTTATAAACCGTGTTAATCTCGTCCATCCTTAACCATCTTTGTTCCTCTATGGTTTATTATTATCTCTTTGGTGTTTTTCTATTTAAGTGAACTACTATTTTCAGCTAGGTTTCCTATTATTAAAAGATAATTTCGTGAGTGGCCAAAAGAATTTAAAATGCCGTGACTGAGCTCTTTTAGGGACCAAAACATCGAGTTTAATAAGGTTTTTGATATTTCTCGACCAGGAGAAAGGAAAACATCCTAATCCAAGCTCTTGGGAAACGCGCCTTGGTCTAGAATACTTAAATTGACAAATCACAACGTGCGTAGGGTCAAGGGAAAGCAGACCTGAGTAATGTGACTAAGAACATTTTCATCCTTGCTTGGAACAGATCAAAAACCCAGAAAATATCTTCGCTTCTTCATATCTGCCAAGCTACTTACTTTAGCCTGTTGAATTTCCTCAATACTGGGTTTTCTCAGACCTCTCTTAGCACCAGTTCTAGAGACTCTCTTGAGTCTAACAGAACAATGTCGGGCATACTGAATCACGGGAATCTAGAATTAATCACAAAATAAATAAATAAATAAATAAATAAATAAAATACTTAAATGCCCATTCCACATCCAGAAACCCTCACTTATTAGATATTTCAACATTTTTTTTTTCACTAAAAATACTCTTAACACAATAATCGTAGTTTTAAATGGACCTGTTGCGGAACGGAAATTTTCGAAATTTTGGGTATTCCTCGCTAGGTTGCCCTCTTTTCCGGACATTCAAGGAAAATGCTGTTCCATTCGCCACAGGAAATTTCAGGATTCAAATCAGTTCAGAAGTTTTGGTCAAATGGTAAGCGCCGCAGGTTAACCGAATTTAACTTGTCGACGGCATCTTTGGGTTGAAAGTTCAAGCAGAGAACAGTATAAAAAAAAACTACAGGCAAACAGCACTGGCTGTCCGTACAGTTAATAAGGTAACAATTTCTGTGAGAAGGTGACTTACCTCCTTCCAATCAGCATCTTGGAAGTGTTTGTTGATATAACCATCCAAGTACGAGTAGAACTTAGTCGAGGGAGGAAACAGAGAGAGGCAGATAGCCATGAGCTCCCAACCACATCGTAAACTCTCTCTGAAAGTGATCAAATGTTTCAAGTCAAACGTTTCTGTTCACTGAAATCAGTCTAAGGTAAGGTTAAGTCTGCATACGAGCCAAGTGGCCCATCAGGTCAGGGCCGTAGCATGAAGCCACTAGGAGTATTTATAAGGGATGCTAGTCCATCGCAGGGTTACCCCCAGCATTAAATTCNATTCCGAAAAAAGTGTGGGATCAATAGCCACGACTCGTCCCCAGATCCCTTCATACCTCACAAGCTTCCAATTTCATCTCAAGCTTCACATCTTTGTACGCCGCATAAGCATCGGGAATTTAATAATCGTTTCAGTTCAACCTAGTTTCTCGACTCGTACTTTGATTAACCATTTCCCATTATATAACGTTCTCACAAAAGCTTGGCACATTTCTTCTCTAAACAATGCAACTTCGAGGTCATAAAATGCAGAAGTGGATTGTTTTGCGTTCGTCATCGTTATGAACCTCAAAAGCATGTTGTCAACCGAGTACTGAGGCCTCGTCCACTCTACGCCGGAGAAATTTGAAAACGCAGCTTTATTTCTACGGTTAGGTCTACCGTCCACACTAATCTGTCACAAAACGGAGCTTTTCGAAAACGCTCTTCAAACCGAAGGAATTTGAAAACGCTGTTAGTGTGGACGGAAAACATTTTGAAAACAGAGCTTTAAAAGCAGCTTTTTGAAAACGATGAGTTGACGATAATCATGAGATTTCGCTGGGTACCCGAGTTTTCCTCAAACACAAATCCAAAATGACCAGTGAACCTGATCGTTGCGTTTTTAAATTTCTCGGGTGGAGGGTGGACGGAAAACATTAGATGCGTTTTTAGAGTGAAAACGCCGTTTTCAAATTTTTCCGGCATATTGTGGACGGCGACTGGGACTACGAAATAACTCAAAATGTCGTGTGTCAGTAACAGAATGACAACTTTTACACAAATACCACTGACACACTAGTTGTTGTATTGCTTGTATGAAGATCAACATACCTTTGACCAGGACAGCATGCTTGCTAAAGAAATTCTTTTCCGTCTAAAGACACCTTTCTTGTGATGACTAAAATACTCTTCATATGCACCAAGAGCTCGTATCAACGGAGGCTTGGAACCAGGGATGGAATGTGAACGTTCCTGCAAATAGAGCACGACTATTGGTTATTAATTTGGAGAAGTAATTCTACTAACAAGTTAACGCAGGGAGTCTCGGAGCAGTTTTCACCTGCCTGTCGAGAGTAATTCGCATTTACTTTCAATTGGTTTTACATTTGCACGCTACACGACTGACAGAGAACCCGTCCTCACTGCGCCAGAGAAATTTAAAAAGGCAGCTTTATTTCTACGGTTAGTCCTACCGTCCACACTAATCCGTCATGAAAACGGAGCTTTTCGAAAACGCTCTTCAAATCGGAGGAATCTGAAAACACCGGCCTCGGCGTTTTACTGTGGACGGAAATTTCAAAACATTTTACATGGAGCATTTCGTAAACGATGGCGTGACAATAATCACGTGATTTCCCTCACCGAGTTTTCTCAAAAACAAATCCAAAATGACCGGTGTTTGTTGCTTTTTCTAATTCTTCCGGCGCAGTGCGAAGGGAAAACATTTGATGCGTTTTCCGAGTGAAATCTCCGTTTTCAAATTCCTCCGGCATAGTGTGGAATGGACGAGGCCTTAAAACTCGCGCCTCTTTGTCAACGAATCAAAACTACATTGTAAACCGATCGCACACGTTTTCCCGCGCTTTGCATCGGCCTGTATATGTGTTTGCTTTAAGTTTTGGTTGGTTCACTGGATTTTCTGTGTCCTTTGTGACTGGCTAGAGTGATTATTTTGGTTTTGGTTTTGGTTTTGGTTTTGCGTCACTGAGTTGAAAACTGCTCTATGAAAATATAAACCTGGTTAACCTATCTGGAAACAAATCATAGACATGAAACCAATTTTTTTGTCAAATGTAGTTATAAAGCTGTTGTATTACCCAACATAGAGAATCTTTGGGTTTGTTATGCAATTATATTCCTCTTCACGTAATAAATTGGCTTGTCATGTAATTTTTTGAGTTGAAACAACGTCTTGTTCACAGTCTTTGATTAATAGTCACGCATGGCAAACTAAAGAAATATGTTGGGTGAGAGCAAAAGTCGTTTACACGATTGGAAATCCTGTTATTTTACCTCAATCATTTTAATCAATATTTGAATGGTTGCATGAAAAAAGACCCTAAGTGACATCTGATAGACTGCGAGATTCTCTTAGCAAACTGCTTTCCGCTTCCTTCTACGAAAACAGGAGAATTTAATATTACATCAAGAGTCATTAAGGACTTTTTCCTATGCACCCCTTCATTTTGAAAGGGGAATTCAAATGGATACCGATAAGCTTACCAAGGTACTGTGTTTAGATGGTCCTGTAGCTGGTGAAGCAGTAGAAGATGGTCGACTAAGCCGTGGCAAAGTACTTGGTGTTCCCACTGACTTTGTCTCCTGCGCTTCGTCATCGTCATCATCATCTTCGTCGTCGTCACGTCTCAGGTCCTTGAGTACACTGTCGCTCACTTGCCGATGATGCCTGAGTGATCGAATACTCAGTTGGCTCTCATTAAGGGAGGGTGGAGCACATGCCTCCACTAGCCTTGCTGTAGTGGCTGGCATGCCTCCTGCTCTCAGTTTTATACTCAGAGAGTCGTCCAGACTATCTTGGAGTCCTGTGGACGTCAGAGAAATTGCAAAGTGTTCAAAACCTGGTAATTTTTCTTTCGTAAAGGTATGAAGAATTTAAAAAGATAAGCCTGTGACTGAAAAGGGTTAAAGTTTGTCCATGAAAAATGTCAAAAGCTTAACAATTATAGTTACTCCGCCAACACTTAACCCCGTAGCATTGTGGGCTTGTCTATTGCTTGTGTGTAAAATTCAAATTTGAAAACACACCCAGTGTTAGACACCACACTGACATCTCTCCCTTTTCCCCCTCTTTTTCCTACAACAATGACTTTATTTTTGAAATTTAGATCATAGTCCTTAATAGCCTGCAATTAGCAAAGCTATTCCAAGCGAGCTACATCTAAACAAGAGACCTAAACTGTTTTATTAATTGAAGGGGTGCATAGAGTGAGTCTTGATCTCATGTCAAATTCTCCTGTTTTCGGAGAAGGAAGCAGAAAGCAATTTGCTAGGAGAATCTCGCAGTCTGTCAGAAGTCACTTAGGGTCTTTTTCCATGCAACCCCTCAATTAGCTATGAGTAGACTGTTAGTAACGTTTCAGATCAAATGCATCATAAGACATTTCTCAAACATAGCAACACCTTACTCCGGTTATACATGTACCTTGTTTGTTAGTGGCAATCGATTTTCCACTCTCAACGAAAACAGAGTCATCTTCTCTCTTCTGCGCTGCAGCTCTGTTGGCTAAAATGCACCTGGATGCACTTTCCACTGCTTGTCTTGCTCTCTCGATGGTCCCTGATGGACTGAGGTGGTCCTCACAGGTGCTAAGTGCATTTAAAAATCGAGGTCAATATATATGCGTTATTGACCAAGCATGACGTCAAGATGGCTGGATATTGGTCTAGTTCTTTTTTTGCGTGTTTATGGACCGAGACAGAGTCTTGATCCATAAACAAGCAGATCGAAGAAGAACGAGGCCAATATTGAGCCATCTTGACTGAACAAGCTTGGTCATAAAAGATTTACTATATGGAAAAAGAACACTTTGTCTATTTTCTTGCAGGACACAGCCAGTAATCCTGGGCAGACATGAAAGTGCCATCTTGCCTGTTTCGGTACCCAATCACATTGCGGGATTTGGTTCAACTTACCCGCTCATGGAGCTAACCATGTTATAATTTATTATCAACTAACAACTTGTCTAACAAATTATGATTTCATGAAAGAAAAAAAAAATTGTAATTACAATTTATAATTTATCACTACCAAGAATAATTATTGCAATTTAATATTATTCACTTGGTTGAGATCTGTTGCCAACATCAGACTCAAGTAACCTGGCAGGGCAGCTGTACACAGACTACACTGAAGGTGTGTGATTTCAAATGCAATTGGGTTGAAGTTAAGGGCAGGATTGGGCCTAAAATTTCATAGTAGGGTACAGTATACAGGTACTTACATGTAACAACCATAAATAATTTATTATTAAGGAAGGCATTAAGGTGATCTCAAGTAGCGGGACACAGCAATCTACAGAAGTTTTAAAAATTAAAATTATTAACACCATTGCAGGATGGTAACACTCCTTGAGAATAAGAGGGTAGATCATTCTTGCTTGCAATATGTGCAGCAGACTAAAATATCAATTAATGTCAAGATGAAGTTCATTTCTTATCCATATTGTTATAGTTTACCAAGCAAGGAGCTGACATTTTAATACATCAACGTCATCATTCTTCCCCACTGACACACTCAAACACCCGACTGCAAGTTGAGATGTCAAAACAAAATTGATGTTTCAACCCTATTATAGCCTTCTTCTCCATTTAAATCACAGTTAACTGAAGATGTTTTCCCTACGCCACTTACTCATCTGGATTGCCATGTCGTGATAAAGTCCCTGATGGTGTGGACTGTCCCTCGTCATCTGTTCCAATCTCTTTTTTGTCTTCATCATCAGGTAAGGGTATGTCCTGCATGTCTGGAAGCTCTGGTATTGGAAGTTCAGGTGACTTACGCTTATCTAAGTCATTCTCAGCAGCACATGCTGCATCTTCGCCGGCTTCCTGAGAAACTCCGTCAACAGCCTCAGTTGTATTGTCGTCAGCAGGCTTACTCTCTGTTCCATTTTCTACTGGCGCAGCATCCTCCAGGGTAGTTTCATTAGCACGGCTTGGCTAATGGTAATCAAAATAAATGTTACTGAACATAATTCAGCAAATTAAATCATAAACTATCAAAGACCTTTAGTTATAACTAAGTCTTTATCCAGTCCTCTTAGAACAGTGGCTGGCTGGATCTTATGTAAATTTTGCAGCTGAAGCAACTAAAAACATTTCCTGGATGAAACATATTTGGCTCATTGCATATCAACCAGCCCCCCACCCTAAGTAATAACCCAAGGACTGAAGGAATGCATTAGACAAAAGAAAACAAGAAAACTGAGAAACAATTGCTTATTCTAATAACAGCAATAATTGGGGACCTTGTAAGAGAATCACCATGCATAATGTAATTTCATACAATATTGAAGAAAAAAGTAGTATTTATTAATTAAGAATTACTCTTCTGTGCGTAATAAATTTGATATGTCTCCAATAGCCATGACAATTATTTCTGGGCTCCATTTCACCCTACATTACAGCAAACTATAACATTATGTTCACACCACGTAACATTATAGAACTTTAATACATTATTTTGCAATCAATCTGTACTCTAAATTTTAGCACAACACACCTGTGCAGTAGCCTCAGCACCATGTCTCCTATGTTCTCTTGAGCTTGTTCTTTCTCTCTTTTCTCTGCTCCCATGCCGCCGTGACGATGAACCTTCTCTTGTCACTCCATCCTTTCTCCCACTGCTTTCTCTTCTCAGTAATGAACCATCACCATGGTTACTTGCACCATCTTTTCTAAGACTTCCATCCCTTTTCCTTCTGTCAGAACCTTCACGTCTAGATGAACCTTCCCTCCTCTCCAATTCTTTGGCTTTGGCAGCTCTGCGCTTTTCCCTTGCTTTCAGTGTCTTCATTGAACAAGATGGAAATCAGTAAATTGCTACGCTGCTGCCCTTAACCCTCCAATCTGCCTTAGTGAGATTCTTATTGCGCCATAACATCAATGCGTAAGTCAGCATTAGCCAGGTACTCAAATTACAAATTGAACCAGTGGCCATCAGATTAATGAATTTTGGACTGATAACAGTGATATCAAATTCTCTAATCAGTACTTGTAGGAAATATCTGGAATATAGTCTGAAGAATTTGCAAGTCAATTCCCTGGTGAAAGAGTATTTGGTTCAATTCACAACACAAGATCATATTAAATTAAAATTTTTGTACCTATTTTAAAAGAGTTTTGATGGACGATAGTTAAATTTATTAATTCAAATTACAATTAATTTCCCCAATGTATGTTAAATAATTATCTGTCCCTTGTTTCTTTTTGTTGAGAGTTAAATTTTTGTTGCTGTTGTTGATGCTGTTTGTGCAGTGTTTTTTTCTCACAATGAGCCTTTCCCAACAGTTAGTCAAGAACTTTCCAATGTTTGCCCCAAGCCTTCAAATGTATAAGCAATCATCTTAAATTGGATTCTGTTAGCTAAATAGAAAACTTACAAATAGGTTAATAACTGGTAACCGAATGAAGTCCGTTGTCAAAAAGAGTAAACCTGGCTCAAAGAAATGCCAAGTAAACCTAAAAAAAGTCGAAATCTGGGAGATCACCAATTTTACCTTTTCGACCCCCAAAAACTGTTGTTGATTCAGCCAAAAAAAGCATCAAATGTTCATGAATTCTTGGTTTTCACCAGTCATGTGATCAAAACTAAAAATCGTAAC